CAACAGAGAGAGAGGGGTTAGGGTTGAACAGCATAGCTGATATTTTCTTACCTGTATTTGAGTCGCTGCCCAGTCCTCTAGCCTGGACATCGCCCGCACTTCGTCCTCGTGGTTCTTCTTGCGGGCCTCGGCCTCCACCCTTACCCTGTACCGCCGGTAGTACTGTTTTTTTTGTGAGCGTGACGTGATGCACCCCGGCGGAACGTGTTGTCGACAGGGTGCGGAGGGCGCACAGGGCGGGGGAGGAGGGAGGGGAGGGGAGCCATTTGGTGATTGTTTGCAGTGGCCCTTTGTCCGGTTGACCAAGCATGTCTTCAGGCCCGGGAGGGTGTCGGGGGGATGTACCAACGTGTTGGATGTACTCATGTGTTGCGCCTCTTGGCGCTGTGGCTAGAGACTAGCCAGGTATAGTCCCTCCAACCTTCTTGTTTTCGTGTTCCGCTTCCAGTAGCAGGGGAAGGATTGGGTGACATCGAACGGGGGGGGATAAATCCCAAGCGTGGTCTTTTTCGAAGCGGTCCCTCGTCTCCCCACTACTATTGCTGGCATTACCGGTGCATATCAATCCGCAACAGGCTAAACACCAAGTGTGTCGCCTTGGTCCGCGGCTCTACTGTTGTTGTGGCAGGAATCTTCCACGATTGACCTCAACGTACCATACCGTCGTGTGGGAGGAGGAATTTGTGGCCTGCCAAAAGTTCTTGCTTGAAAAGGTTTCAACATACATGCAAAGATTCACGCTTCCATAGTACGCGCATATGCATCTCAGTGACAAACGCGGCTAAGAGCCTCGCGTCATTTGTCTTTTCAAAACAAAACAACCGTTCGTTATTCACAGTTTTCCTATGTCTCATTCTTGATGTAAAAAATATAGCACTTTTTCCTTGGGTCCGGCATATCACAAAGAGATCATCGATACTCAGTAATCATACTTTGGCGGCCTCTTCTTGATACGCACCCATCCTCGACCACGCTAACGCATAAACACCATTGAAGCACCTGCTGTATTGTCTTAGCTCCGTTTTGCTCCCGGACCTGCCGAAGCTGCTTGTTCATGGCAAGCACTCCACACAACGCCTTGCTGGTGATCAAGCGCTGCCAGCACTGCAACCTCAGTGCTGCGCCTTTCTCCCTCTCCACCTGCGGTGCCCCCCGAGCCGGAGGAAGTACGCAACACAACAAAAACACGATAAGACAAACACGGGGAAGATACAGATAGCGCCCAAACCTACATTCAAGGGGTCTGGGACAAAGCGTTGGAGAGGTCACGGTTGGGTTGCCGAAGTGATTCCAACCCCCGCTTGTTTCAAGCGATTTCAACGCAAAGGCTCCTTTTTCGGTTGAATGTGCGTGTGTCGTACACACTTGCACATCGCCGAACGGCAACCGGGGGGTTAGAGCCTTAGGTTTCGACTAAACTCCATCGCCATCATGAACAGGTTCTACGGAGTCGGTTTGAGAGCAGGTGATGGCAGGTTACAGGGGACCCAAGCAGAGAGACGGCGGGTTCAATCGCAAGCTTTTTCAGACAGGAAGGGCCCGTACACGTGTTTGTGTTGGCTACTTGACGTTGGCTGCTGCGGACAACAGCTACGAAAACGCATGATCTCACGCGTCGACCAACTCTTTATCGCTTGTTCATATGCTGGCATCCGAAGTTTCAACAAGAGCGCTTGTGCCCTTGAGAACGACGATCGCGGTCTATTGTTCGATGAGTTCAACACCCTGTTTGATGTAGATCAAACAATCGGCGAGACGCTTTGTTCCCACATACTGTGAGCCAATTTTTAGTCCTAAGAAGGAAGCAAAACAAACCCAACAGTCTTGACAGACGAGAAGAAAATCAGAAACACACCTGCCGCTTCTCGCAGAGTATCACGTAGTGCACCCTTGCAATTACCCCGCGATAGTGCCGCTGGATAGTAGTTGTGGAGGCGTGCCTGTGCGCCCGCTCTCTGCGCTTCTGCTCCAGGAGTTTTCTGGAGATATTCGGAGTCGTGTATTCAAGACACGCGCGAGATAGCCAACCAAACGGAAAAGGTCGCGGAGCAAAACGATTCGAAGATGCGTCTTAGGGGAGGAGGAAGTGGGTTCTCTTCTATCTTCAGTAAATAGAAATGATCCCGGTTGGTATGGCGACATTAGGCGACAAGATATCACAAGGAACAGAAGAAAGCGTCTTTGTTCTCAAACTTCGTCGTTTTGTCGATTACCGAGTTCACTTTGTCTTCATCATCGTCAGCAACCACAGCAGAAACAACCCGATAGTGTGCTATGTACTCCCACGAGCTTCGTAGGGTCTCGCATTGTCACCGCCTGTGTTCGCACCCCCCGGCCTCTGCCATGACGAGCACAGTTTTCGGGGTGACACCCATCCACCCTTCATGGTGATCGCCGCACAACACATGAAGTTGAATCACGTGCTGAGTTGCCATCAAGGCCTACCGGAATTATTGGTGTAGGTCGACGAAAACTGGGGTGGTTGTTTGTGCCAGACCAGGTTGGTGGGGATGCGAGAGGTTAAGATCCCGGGTACTACGTTAGGGCCATGCACCACAAAGAACTTGCAAATCCCGCGCCAACCTTGTTACCATGCACTTCCCTCGACACACGCTACTGGTTTCTCCTTTTTTGGCTGCAAGGAACAGGTACCAGACAATTCGATGAGCTCGGATGCTCGGATGCGTACGCGCGGCGTGGTTGATGATTTGAGGTTACCACGCCCCCTGTCCCTCCCTGCTCCCGCGCCACCTGCGACCCTTCCCCAGTCTCTTGAGGAGTTCCTCGACAGAAAAAACACCATCCGTCAAGCAAGCAAGGCTAAGGCTGCACCTCCGACGTACCCCACCGCAGCACATGGCGATTTTCTGGCTCACATGGAGATAACCAGGCGGATTTTGTAGTACACGATGTGGTCTCGTCATGCGGCCCCCCCTTTTGCGTGCGTCACCCACACGGACCCAGGGGGGGAGGGGTAGTCCCCACCCAAATCTTGGTGGATCTTCGCCCTCTCTACTAGTCTCCTGGGAGAAACTTCTATGCGCGCACCCGCGTACAACGAGACGCCCTGCTTCTTGCCGTGTTCCTTCCTCACCTACAGCGAGACACCCTCACGAACTTCTGTATGCACGTGGCGGCGGCCTTCTTCCTGGCCTTCTCGAGCCGCAGGAGGTGCTTCAGCCTCTCCAGCTCCTGTCTGGCGCGGTAGGACCGCCATCGCCGCTGCAGCACCCTCGTGCTCTTGTCTCGCTTTCTTCGGAGGCGCTCCGCTTGCTCGCGGAGCGTGGTACACTTTACCTTTGCCCTGCAGCATTTGTTTTTTAGGAGGACGCAAGTCGGGACTAACATGGTGCACTGTTTTATTTTTTCAAGCCTTTACGTGCGTCCTTCATTGTTTTTCTTATCGATGTCGTCGTGTCAGGAGGCGTCAAGAGAGGAGTAGGGGGGAGTGGTGGGTGCGACTGATGCGTCTGATCTACCTGCGAGAGACATGACGACGCTGCAAGCCGTTTCCTTCAGGGACAAATCTCGTCCTTCCACCATCTCGCTTGACAGAGTACTGGAGCATGGTACTGCTGTACAGTAGTAAGGGGTTTCTTTTGTTCAGGGTCTTTTTTGTGACAGAAAGAAAGCTGTGGAATTCCTTGTATCTCATGGTTGCTGTTGGCGGTGCAGAAGGGCGTGGCGACAACTCACCTTACACGCTCTCAAAGGGTTCGAACGGCACTAAATGGTTCAAATCGTAAAAATGACGGGAGAGAGGGATGTGCGACTTTAGTGGACGAGGTTTGTGGATGTGCGACGAAGATTTTCGGACTCAAGCGAGCCAACGGGAGAGGGGGTATCATCAAGGGGTATCAGGAAACCGTACGTTTGGCGTCTGGGAGAACCCTAAGGTGACGTAGAAGTTGAGAAGTCCCCGGCAAGCTTAAGTCGAACCACATTTCAGGTTAGAAAACTATTCTCCGTCACGCGTGGGATGTTGGTACACACTGCGTCCGCGAAGAGAAGTCCAACTCACGTTATCGTAGTTGGTAAATATAGTTGAACTTTCTTTGGCACTGCCATATCACCGTACCCTTCGTGCTACCTCAGCCAACGCTCGTTCGTCTTTTTGATTTCAGATTTTAGTTTGTCTGCCGATGCGGGCATGATCGTCGTTGGTTCAGTCCTGCAGTGCCACGTCCAGTATCACCGGCGGAGTAAAATATGTTTTCTTCCGTTCCGTGGTCGAGTTTTCTGTTCAAAGCTTGAACTATTTTGAGTTTCACTTCGCGAATACAGCATCCAAACAACTCGCGAGGAACCCCACCTCGTTGCTCTCCCTTCGCCAGCCTGCGATACGGCGCCACGATACTACGACAAACGATCAGCAAACAAGAGCAAAATACAACAATACAAGCAGACGACAGCGAAAAGTTCCTCACCTGTGCATCCTAAACCTCTGCTGAATCATGCGCGAAGCCGCCACCTCCCTCTTCCTCTGCTCCGCCCTCTCCACTCGTCGACGGCATGCCTTCCTCCTTCCTAGCACGCCCCGATATCTCCGCTGGATTGTGGTTGCTCGGCGTGCTCGCTCGCGCTCTTCCCTCTCTCTAAGAACAAGGTCGACAAGAAATTCTAGGCTAAGGTTCTGGGGGCAGCGCGAGGTGATCTTGGTACCCCAAACGAACTGTATTTTAGATTTCGGGCGGGGGGTGACTATATACAATATGTATGAGAATACACTCAGCCATGTTTATTTTTTAGGGACTCCGTGCGATTCCACCGCTGACGTGCCGTACCTCTTAGACGAGCTATATTTAAAACAGTCTTGTTTGGCGGGGCCCAATTGATTGAAAAACGACGGTGCACCTCGGAACCACCTTGGCATGCCGGTTGCGCATTTGGTCTGTGTCACGTGCACGTGAGAGTTTTGTTTTCGTGGAGCAAACATACTCGTGGCCCGACTGTGCACCGCCATGCGTGTTTTTTGTTCTTTGACGACGATCGTGTGTACCTTTGTTTCCTCTCTGTTGTGCGCCCGCTCTCTTTCTCTCTGGCTCTCTCTCTCTCTCTCTCGCATTTTCTTGCAAGCTTCCCAAAGGTATCTACACTTGAATACGCGTAGGTCGTCAGGATAGGCTCTTGAAAACGGCAAGCCTAAAGTGTGACCCCGTTTCTTGCTAAACCAGACCAGAACGTGAGACCGAATCAGCGTACCCCGACCAATCAAGCTTCATTTTCTGCAATCGACATTATTGGTGCAAAATGTGATGTTTAAGCGCCCACTGGCAGCACGCAATGATTCAAGCCCACGTATTTGTGCTTTTGGGGAACAGTGATGCTACACCCACCTTCTAAGACGACTCGCGCACATCCTTGCAATAGCTTTTCTCCAGAGTTTCTGCAACACTATAGCGGCGCTAGCTTCGCGGTTCTTGAGCAACCGTAGCGCCTTGACACGAGAACAAGTACATAGTATCCCGGAAGCAGGATGGAGTCAAAAGTACACATACAACACTCGGAGCGCAATAAGGGGACAGTGTTCGTTTGAGAAACACCCACCAACGATCGCGCGGGGTATCAGCAAGAATTGCTCTGCCATTTCTTTGTGGTCGATTCAGCTACGCTGGTATATCACGTTCTGTAAGGAGGTCTGAGGAGGTTGGCTGTGTGCGCTCCTTTCGACTCAAGAGTTTGTTGGGCATAGGGAATGTGTGCAACCCAAACGTGCGTGGTCGAAGTATCTCTTTCTTTGTTCAGGGTCCAACTCTACTCAATGCTGCCATCGGTACCTGCAGCTTGGCCTTGCCCTGCTTTCTGCGCAGCGCTCTGGTGACCATGCGTGCAGCCTTTTCTTCTTGTGCACGGACCCGTCGGGCCCTCACCTCCTTCCTCGCCTTCATCGTCCTGAACATCGTACGGGGAAGGGGCCGTTCTAGAGATTAGTTCTGGACATGTCACTAGCATTGATATTGTTGTTTCTTGCCCCTTCGTAGTAGGCACCCTGCCCTACCATCCATGTTCACTTTTGCATCCTATCAGAGGCGCGGGCGCGCTCGCTATTCCCGCCGTGTCTTGAGGGGGCCGAAAATTCATTTGATTACCTGTAGTCCTTGCGTATAGGGCTCAATTCCGTGCGTCATCGTGCGAGAAACGAATGCAACCTACTGAACGAGGCACCCACACACAAGCCTGTCGAGCTCTGCGCTGTACTCTTGGCTCTTTCTTCTTTTAATGTCCCCCATTCTCGAAATTGGTGTGGAGTTGTTGCAATGGTCAATTTACGAGAGCCAGAAAAGACAGTTCCCAACGCAGGTTATCGATTCAGCCAACCTCTCTTTTTTCAGAAAATACAACACTGAAGGAGGCAAAGCTCAAGGTCGATTCTATTCTAAACATGTCGCAAATTATGAGAACGACCTTGACGGTTTACCGATTGTGCAGACGACCTTTCTCTACCACTTGCAGTTCTACCGTACCCAGCAACTACGAACCCCGCCGCCAGATCGGACATCATGGCCAGAATGTCACGATGCGATAACGCCACGATGTCACAAATCGAAAGCCAATTCCTGTCTTGCCTGAAACAACCTTGTATCTTCCTAGCCCCCATGTGCAGCGAGGCGTACTCCTTTATCGCGATTCGCTCCCTCATCTTGGGTAGGGGAGACAATCCGAAGAACTTGTCTCCGACCTGTCAAACATAAGAAGACGTGAGTCATGAAAGTGTTTGATAAAAGCTCCTTTTTTCGTTGAACCGACGTAATCCGAAGCGTTTCCGCCCACGTCTTCTTCAAGTCGCATCAAGTATTTGTTGCCGTCGAGGTACGATTCACACCAACAACCACTTTGACAAAACCAAAAGGTTCTCTTGATGGGTACAACTTTTGTCCTAAACAGTAGGATGATAGTACTTTAACAACGTTCGCATGTCCCCCCGACGTGGATTCCGGCGCTCTAAAATCAAGTAGTTCGCTACGTACGTTACCAAAAGCACCGAGAAAACAAAGTACCAGCGTGTCTGACCCGCCTCACCCCTCCAGCATCGTCGATGCGCGCCTCCCTGCCCCCATATCACAGCCTGTTAATACTCGCCCATGAATGCCTCCTCAATGGGGTTTCTTGTAGAATCAAATGAAGATGCGTAATGCATGTTTTCGGTTTGAATTGCCGACGGAGAAGTGGCGCACACTAATATTTAGCGGTGCTCGTACTAAGGGGTATAAAGAAGTCTGTCTCCTCACGGAGTCTGCCAACAAAAAAAAACTGGATCCTAAGACGGAATATCACCGTGCGAAGAACACCTGTCCTGCGTACTTGCGTCATTCCGGTCAGCATACACTCAGCGAGGTTTGTAACCACACGCATTATCCTCTAGTTGGCTCAATGTATTCTTGCCTTTATGCGGCTGTACGGGTAGCGCTCCTTGATGATGTTGAGCGCCGTAAGCGTGGCCTTGGTGCCCTTCAGGTTAAGAGAGGACAACGCCGGGCATCCCGCCACCAGCCACTGCACCCCGGCTCCGGTGATCTTGGGACAATCCATCAGGACGACCTGTGGATGTGAGACAAATAAGATTCAAGGAGAAAGGGTCAAGTTTTTCGAAACGTTGCGAGACTTTTGAAGAAAAAAAACGTCCTATCCGAGATCCCGGTCGCCATTGCTGGTTCGCAAGGTACTTGAATCTGGGAAGATTGGTCAGACTCCCCATCCCCCCTAGACGCTTTCTCACGCAGGGCGGACGAGGGACTTCAGCATCACGGGTAAAGCCTTCTTGTACTCAAAGTGTATAGGTAGACAGGATGAGGATATGTTTTTACGTGGGAGGGGGGGGTTCGTGCGTAGCCGTTGGGAATAGAGACGAGTTTTGTTGTTTTTTCTCTGCCTCTCTGGTGGTGTACGCCCCACCTCGCCGTGCTGGGTTCATATCGGTCGGATGAATTTGTTGCGATTGCCACGAGCCACACACCCACGCGTGGTGTGACACTCCATAGAATTATCATCGATAAAAACATGCTCACATTTCTCTGGCCGCATCTACTCCGTAAGCGCGGTGTCGACATGCTGGTGTACACTAACTCAGCGTCACCCCGTTTCCTTACCATTAACATTCTTCATGGATCCACACGCTTGTTCAAGGCGAGACTGCGTACTGCGTACCACTCACTTTCTCAAGCTTCTCCATCTGGTGGTCGTGGAACCCGACCAGGGCCGAATCTTCCAGGCTCAACACCTCTCGAAGGTCCAACAGTTCCAGGTCTCGACAGAGGCTGCACACGGCAAGGATTCCTGGCGCGCCGAGGGGGGGTGGTACGCCTACAACTCCCCTCAGGCACAGCCTTCGAAGGCGTCGACAACCCCTCGCGAACGACGCAACGGCAGCGTCGGTCACTGCGCTCCCGCAACTGCAACCGACCGAAGCCACGACTCGGTGTCAAGGTACGCTTGTTTGCCATCATTATAGTATTGTGCTTTCGGGATAAACGTGGCGGTTGAGATAGGTTTTGAAGGACGTTTGTCTTGCCGAGTGTGTGCTGTCACTCCTGCTCTGATCTGCACTGCGATAGCAGCAGTGCCGCGCTGGATGCTTTTCCCTACTGCCGACCCAACGCCCACCTCTCTAGCTTATCTTTTCTTGCGCGTCTCACCAGACGTGTGTATTGCCCTCTTTGTGCTTCGTGTTACAACGCAAACAGCAATAGGTGGGCAACGCGTACCAAACATTCCAAAAACAATGTACGTTATGTCTTCGCTGCCACCCCTGTTGATGATATTGAGAGGCACGTTGGATGATGGGGAAGCCGATGTACTGCTATGGACTCTGTTCTGGACTACTCAACGGTACTATCCAGCAGCGGAATTTATATGCTCGGCCGCGGGCATCAATAGAGAGAGAAAACGGATCGAAATGCCAACTAGATGTGCTCCGAATCTGCACCCCAGCGAAACTAACACCAACCTTTCTGACCAGAATCGCACGCTGTAATTCTCTGCTTCCCACCCGCTGCCCAGCCTCACCCTCTCCCGCTAAGGGAGTGACACAAAAAGCAAAGGTGGGGTACTCCCGCAATACATCTGCCTAAGCTTTATCCCTCCTCGTTCCAGCGAAACTTGTTTACAATACGAATACCACTCACTTAGGGAGGTTCAGTTCCGTTAAGTTTGGGCAACCTTTCGCCACAGCAGCCATGCCTTCCTGGGAAAGACCCGGACACCGGGCCAGAGACAGCCGCTTGAGTGAGCGCAGCCCGCCGCCCACAGACCGGAGCGCGGTCTTGGAGATCTGGAAGCACCCGTCTAGGACTAGCGTTTGCAGTCCTGTGCAGCCTTTTGCGAGTGCCTGGTTGTTTTATGGTCGACCGTTGGTTTTCAAGTTCGAGAAATCAGTATGTGCATATAGCTCCCGGTTTTTCACGAGACGGGGGCTAACGCCCAAGAGCGTAGCGCAATGCGGACGATTCTGGGCGGACAAAGAACTAGCCTCATTTTAGAGAGAAGACTGGCTGTACGTACAGAGTAGCGGGTTCGTGTTGCTGCAAACCACTTGTATAGGGTGCCCACATGGCGCCAACCACAGAACTTGTTAGGAGAAGTTGCTGTTTCGTTAGCGAAACCGTCAGCTACTACGCTGTTGCCGGCTACAGAAGCACTAACTCCAAACGAACTCCCGAGGTCTTCACCATGCTAGCCAACAAGACAGAACGTCGGGGCCTCCGTAGCGGCCAAGAAAAACTCTTTGTATGCCATCCAAACAAAAAACTAATCGAGACGAGCGGAATTATGTTTTCAAATGGCAGGCACACCCCGATTTGCCGCGGAACGATCCGTATTTCCCCTCCCTTCGGCGGCAGATCAAAGCACGGCCAGACGAAACGACAGAAGACGTTGTCAGGTGGTTGAGCAGGCGTGCACGTTGCGTGACTGGTCATCACCTGGACCCCCGTGAGGGCGAAGTCTCTCTGCATGCCGTCGGAAAGGTTGACGATCCCGGACAAGTCCAGGTGTGTCAGCCTCGTGCACGAGCTACCGAGCCTGGCCACGCCGATGTCGGTGACGTGCTTCAGGGACGCCATCCCGAGATGCTCGAGCAGGGGGCACCTCTCGCAGAGGCTTGTGACTCCCGCGTTTGAAACCTTAAGGCGTCCAGCAACCAAGTTGATGGGGAGATTACGTGCCTCTTGCACTAGGGTTACAAACGGCAGGGAATAATTCTTGGGATCAATTGGGAAATATACCCGCTAGTATAGTCCCGCGGCACAAAAAACAGATGATCTTCCTTTTCGCGATTGAAACGGCATGGTAGGCATGGTACGTACCAACATACCCGATCCTTGGTAAAATTGGTACGACACCCTTTACCCGATCCATTGGTGACCTCGGTACGATATTCCGTACCGTACCACAGGTATCCGTACATTACCAAACGCAAACATGGATAATGGATGGGAAATTTTGACATCATAATCCCGCGATGGGAGCCTCTTTTTGAGTCCCGACCATGCACACAGCGAGGTGAAAAAATAGGACGTGGTGGGATATATTTATCAAGGAAAAAGTAGCAGGTTCCTGGGTTTGAAATCTGATGCAATGCTACGCTGGTGTAAATTTACTAAGGCAGATATGCACGTTATTCTCAAATGAATCCGTAGCGTGTGAGTGGGACTCCTTGCTACGTAGTCGAAGGTACTTGTATCACAAGACAGCCCTTGGTCGTATTTCCAACACCGTTTGTATCGAGCACAAGCAATGCCATCGGAAGTCTAAAACCAGCAACCTAGCTTTGCAAACCTTGACGCAACCAGACACATCCAGATATTCCAGCGCAGGGCAGCCGCTGGACATCCACGCAAGGCCAACATCCGTTACACCGTCGCAACCCTTCACGCTAAGCCACTGGAGTTCGGGGCAACCCTCACCCAGAGCCTGAGCTCGGCCGGGTACGAAGAAGGACGGAAAAGCAATGAATGGTTGGGTCGGATCAGATTGGGTCAGAGCAACATGGCAAAGAGAGACTTGTATTGGGTCCTGTGCTTTTTATTCATCGACAACTTGTCGCTGATCTCCATGGCCCAGAATCCTGGCAAACAAGGTGGTTTACTTCGCAATTCAATATGCTATCTGTTTCGCGACAATGGCTTCAGTCAATGGCTTGCTTCAGTCGAGGGCTTCAGGTGGTCAACAACGCCGAGGAGAAAGCGAGTTCGGGTTCTATGGTGTTACGAACTGAAGACTCCTCTGCTTCGCTTCTCACCATCAGCGTAACATCGCCAACCTTGAAGGGCAGCTCTGAACGTGACAACTCCAGGACGGTCAGCGAACTGCAACGCCTTGCCACCTCCAGCAGGCCGGTATCGGACACCTTATATTTATTGCGCACACCAAGGCAATGCACGCGGTTGCGGGTGGATACCGCAAAGCAACCGGGAAATCGCCGTCCAAGGCGAGGGTCAGCAGCTGTCGTACAGAGGGAAGGGTTTAAACCATCCAGGTTACGTTGAGTTCCGTGCTGGAGACAACGGAGGATCATTCCCCAACTGCAGGACCACCTTCGCGAGAAAAAACAATCATGAGTAAATAGAACAGGGAGGGGGTACGCATCCCTAATCCTAACCCCAACCCAACTTCCCCGATTGCATGCTTTATCCAACATGTTTACTTGGTACAAAAACCCTACGAAGGCTACTGAAACTCCACCAACGGGTGAAACCATTTTTCCTTGCAGCACTACTGTTCCCGACAAGAAGATGGGGGCAGATACCTGGTTGCAGTCTTTCAGGTCTAGGCGTACGAGTCCGCGGCACCCCACCCCGAGCTCTTTGAGCTCCTCGTCTCCCACCCGGGAGCAGCGCGCCAGCGACAGCGTCTCGAGCGCACGGCACCCCCGAAACAGTCTCGTCAGAACCCAGTGCCCAATCTGGCGTTCCGTTCGTTCCCGTCGCATTCCACGCCGTTGCGGCACCCAGTCAGTGACGAAGGGAGTGGCGAGAAGAGTGTGCAGTTGCTCTTGCTGTACGGGATCAGGGCTGCTACCGCAGACTCATTGGATGTGGTGGTTCAGCCGTCGTCTCCCGCTACCTATTGGGGAAGCTACGGGCGCAAACCTGTATGCCCCTCTCTGCTAGAATGGACGAACAAAGCTCGCTTGAACACACACAGACGAAAAAGTGAAACTTCCATTAGATTAACTTGGCGCCATTCGTTGGGGGAAAGGGTGAAGCCAACTCTCACGCTCTCAAACGAGCCACCCTTGCTTCCTTCCTCTACCGCCCTCCTAATTACCTACGTCGTGAAGCGGTAAAATCCATTCAGAACCGAAGCAGTGTCTTTGAAGCACGGCACCAGGAGAAGCAACAACAACAACACATATATTACTCAGCAGAGAAGGAATTCGGACCGCCCCTAGCTCGGTGGGTTGCCGAAAAAAAGAGAGTGTCCCGAAACGGAGGGCGTTGCCTTGTTTCGTTTGAGCTACCGTGCTCCTCGCCTGCTTGCAATCGGATAAATCGAGGTGCACCAGTTTCGGGCAGCACTCTCCCACGGCCGCGAGTCCAGGTCCACAGATCGCGAGGCACCCGCTGAGGTTGAGCTGGGTTAATCCGGTGCAATTCACGGCGAGGGAGCCTGGCACACATGGAAAAAATATGAGGGCACATGGAAAAAATCGATTTGCATGGCGAGCATGTAGCAAGGGGGCAGGCAATCAAGCAAGCATCCCCCGACGCCGTTTTGGTATCGGAACAAAAAATGAAGGGCACCTAAAGACTTCGCAATACTCTGCTGGACGGATCAGACAAGTAGTTGGTGTGGGGCTAATAAAAGAAGGCGTTGTCACAAAGGGTTGGGTGTGGGGGCGTTCTAGGGCACCCAGTCTATCTCAATGACACCAGGAAGCTTGGACGAATATCATGGGTCTGACTAACATCTCCCTTTGCTGCTATTTTTTGCATGTGCAAGTCAACCCTGCCGTTTGACGAGCCCGACTACAGTAATTTGGAACGACGTAAGGTGAGCGCATGTTGGACTAGCGTCAATGGTATCACAAGAAAGATGCCAAACAAGCAGTACGTCCAATTCGCATAGATCGTTTTGAAACGACTTCAAAAACACACGAATACGTGTGACCTCTCCCCTCCCCTGCCCGCCCCCCCGCCCAAAAAAAGCGACATATCAAGGTACTGTGGAGTCCTCACGGATGGCAACGTCTGTGACCCGAGAGGCACCGGACATATTTAAGGACTGCAGGCGGCGGCACTGTGCGGTCAGCACGGCGACCCCGCTGTCTCCCACCCCCTGCGCTCCTGAAATATCGAGGGATGTGAGGCCTTCTTGGTCGGTGAAGCGGTCCTGTGTGGCATTGTAGGTGAGCCAGGTTCGATCCGTGGTGTTTTATTGTTGGAGCGAACACCAGCAGGTGATCAAAAGTTGTTCGGCATTATGTACAATGTTGCAGAGCGAAGCAAACACTCAGTGCCTTCTATCTAGGTTACATGTGATTGTGTTGGGGTAAGTGAGAGAGTTTCGGGCAGGGCACCTCGAGAAGACGTGATGCTGGAAAACTGTATTGTAATCGCTTCGGAGTGGATCATAGAGCAGACAGACACAAGCAGCCCGCAAGGTCTTGTCTCCGCTTATCACAAGTTCCTCTTGTTCAAAACAACACGAGACGACGTACAAGAAAGAGCAATCGCACTGCATTCCTTCCTTCTGCCGGGCGCCACAATGACATGCATGGTGCCAACATTTCTTGCATCTATCTGCAAGGAGACTTTTTGCCCGCCTTGCCTTTTGGTTCAAAGTATTAGTGTATCAAGGAAGGGCACAACCTCGCTTTTCCTCTTCGCCGTACATCCATCTTTTAGTACATGTCACGTCCAATTGTAAGTACAGAGTCGCGACAACATCTTCAACGTTCATCTGAATCCAATATCGACTACGCTGTGTTGCGAATAGTTGTGCAGGTGTGTGTGTGTGTTTTCTACGGAATCACGCCCGCTAAAAATAAACAAGAAAACAGGGTAGCTCTAGTGCAGAGATCACAGTACACGATACCGACTTCTCTCTGCTACTTCGGAACAAAGGAAAACGTGGCACTCTCCAAATGCAATATGTCATGAGTTTTGTGGCAAACTTACGAATAAAGACGATTCCGAGCATGGTTGGTGTGTTTTCCCAAGAGTGCCTGGTACACCTCGACGCCCAACAACAGGACGAGAGGGGACTCGCGCTATGGCGAAACTCCTGACCCTAGAATGCCACTCTATTCCGTACATACGGCGTCACCACACCAATTCTAATGGTTCATGAATTTTGAGAAGAGGCGCTGGGCAAAAGGAAAGCGTACAACAAATATGACGCCGACATATCACCTGGGCACGCTCAATTTCCTCCGATTTCATCCGCTCTAGGGTCTGCTTTTCCCTCCAGGCCACCATGGAAGAAGCGTCGAATTGAGCCACCCCCGAAGGGTCCATTCCTTTGAACGCGGCTGTGAGCCCCATCGCATCAATGTGGCAACCAACCTACACGTTCCCCACAGGTACGTTTGTCAGTGTTTGTTCATCGTGGCGCCAGTGCTTGAGTGAGTTCTCGGGGTTCGTTCAGTTGATAGGGGTGTTGACGCGGGGCGTATGTTTCGTTTACTGTGAACTCTGATAATGCTCCCGTGCCGTGAATTCATGGTGCCGTGGTTATGCCGGGCTTCGTATGCCAGACGCTAGACCCACTCACGTTGATGTTGCTCTTCAAGGGCCTGCTTTCAGGCATTCGCGTCCAAGCTCCCTCTCCACGAGAGTTGCACAATTTTGGTCGAACGAAGATCGTCGACGCTAAGCACGAGAAACAGACAACTGCTGTTCCGACAATAGCCACACGGCACGACAACAGTCCTGTCGCCTACCCACGTTATGTCGCCGTGCTGCGGTGGAGCACGTACGTCTCAAAATGGCAGAGAAAATTGTGAATGGGTACACAATAATACCTTGTTAACGCTGCTCTGACGGGCAAGCTTGTCGATTCGGTCCCGATCTCCTGCTGCTATGCATCTCAAGGCATCGTCATCCACAAGCAACGACCATGCTGCGAGGTCGATGGACTTGGTCCCATCCCTAGCCCGGCATACTTCTGGCGGGACGCTGTCGTACGGCAGGATTGTGGTGTGCTCGTAAGCTTTGATGGCGCTTTTGACACTTTCTGCTACCCTGTAAGATGGTCGATGCGCGCGCGAAGTGGACGGGGATGAGCCAAGAACAAAGCCATTTTCGACAAAAGAAATCATTTAGATACCCCGTTCCGTGTTTGATTGATTTTATCATAGCACGTTCTCGAACACGCGGCCATGCCTCATCATTCATGGTATAGATAATATCAGCGGCAATCAAATCGGAAAAATCCACGCAAAGGTACGCCTTTGCTTGAAGATTGAAAGGTCCTCCAGATTGCTGAGAGATCGACGATGCTGTTAATACAGACACTCATTGTGTGCCACTGCAACGTTACCCATGTTGGCCGCGTTGAAAATCTGCGATGCTGACCAGGCCTGGTCGAGCACCGACGGGCACTAAATAACTGATCGTTGCATCCGATATAAACAATTAGGGGTTCCATCAGAAATAATGCAAATTGTGTTTACACGACTGCTGGGTTGTCCAGCCAATGTGCACATGCATAGCGCGGTGTGTAGATTGTGCACCAAGTTTAGAACAACGGACAGCAGTAGTAGATACGTCTGCTGCTGTAACCTTCAGACTAGCGCAGGCGGGCTTCTACAGTATGTAACAGGAGTCTCAGTACGGTATACGACCGGCTCCGAGAGCAGTTTAATACCAGCACGCCATTATACCCGGCGAGAGTGGCTGCAACGGCATCGGCCGGGGCAGAGCCGCTCAACCCTGATCCGTTTTCCGCTGAAAAGGTGACGCTTGGCTCGTGTGCTGCCGGGGAGCCACCACGCTCGCCGCCGTTGCTGATGTCATCACAGCTACCGTCTGGAGTTCCTCTTCCGAAAGCTGCCACGGGAGCGCGCGGGTTGGATTGAAGCGGGGCCAATGATTGTTTTCTCTTAAGAAAGTTTGGATCAGCCGCCATCCTGTGTTTCAGAGGAACAGCTCGGGCCTTCCTTGTTTTTGTTTCCCAAAATGAATCAATCTCCCCCCCGGAAAAACTTTGTTCAAGTTCCACACGGATGACGTGACCATGCTATGCTGCATAGTACGTAGCGATAGCGTGCCAATAGTCAGACATGCAGCTCGTCCTTGCACGCACGTGACGCCGCTGTGGAGACGACAGCGGGTCGTGGGTCGTGGGGTCGTGGGGTGCGAGCATTTAGAGGTGCGGCACAACCAATAGCGGTGCAATCTACAGAAATGCGGCAGAACCCTCGACGGTTCGGGCGTCGGTTTCTCCGCGTTCCGAGAAAGCGACAAGGGCTCCTTGATTTGTCACCATGCGCACGAGAGAGACACACACACACACAGAGAGAAAGAGAGAGAGAGAGAGAGAGAGAGAGAGAGAGAGAGAGAGAGAGAGAGAGAGAGAGAGAGAGAGAGAGAGAGAGAGAGAGAGAGAGAGAGAGAGAGAGAACTTCGTGGGGTGCGCATGAGCAGCGGACAAAGCGGCAGGTGACAAAAAGCAGGAGGCATACCATATTAGCACTGCGCTGCAAACCTCTGAAGTCTCATACATCATGGGCGCGGCAGCTTCTGTGTCGGCCGAGGCGGAACTGACCACGTTTAAGGAGATGCGGTCGAAATTCGAGGCGAGTCGGGATCTGAACCACTTCTACAGTAGAACTCTATATATGCTCTTCTCTCCACATGTACATCACGATGGTATCAAACAACAATTGGAAAACAGAGCTTGAGCCCTTGCGTTCACTACAATGCAATACTACAGGGACACTCGCTCTAGGCTGGCAAACTCTTTGATGTTGAATCACGTACCAATGCCCTGTCGGGATGTATTCGTGTAGAGACATTTCACTTCACATGCGGACCAATGTTTACCCTAGACAGCAGTTCCATTCGTTGACTCAGCTATTCGTGTGACATGTGCATTGTATTGCGCATACGGTTGCCGTTGTGTTCGTCGTCATCGGAACCGTCCCTCGTAGTATCTGCTCACGCACTGCCAATCAAACGGTCCTGCCTTGTCTGCTAAACGACCTTCAATTTACAATTTACGCTATCCATGGACATATTAGGGAAGTACGGTGAAGATGAAGGGCATGCGTACTTGTTGTCAACGCTTCCAGCACGCCCTACGTATAGTGTCGGTTGTTTTGCGTTGACATAATGGGTGTTAGACGCATCTTCTTCCGTGCTGGCATGTTTCCGAAACTAGAATCAAGTGGGCTTGATCCACTCGACACAACACAACCTCAGGCGTTGAAAGAGGAGGGAAAAACGGACGAGGACATCTATGCCGAGCTCAAGACCTTGTACAACACCGCAGTCGGCACCGCCAGTGGCGACGCCCCCCCCGATGGTGCTGGTGCCGACGCGGAGAAGCCAACAGCTGCCGCTGAGGCTACCCCCGATGGCGCAGCCGACGCAGCACCGCCGGCAAGCGACGCAACAGCAGCGGAGCCTGTTGCAGCGCCTACAGAGGCCGCACCGGCGCCAGCCGTGACGGAAACACCAACGGCCGACGCGGAGGCGGCTGCTACTGCGGAGTAGTCAGAGGATATAGCTACAGGTGGCAGACCATCGTGCATGGGAGCGCGCAGAGAGTATATGGTGGCGCGGAAAAGAGAGCGAAAACAAACCATTACGATGTGCACTGTTGCAACATAGAGTGCCCTTCGTTCAGATGTAAAGCCCGGTGGGTACATATTGGCTACTCGATCGGGTATGGAACCGGAATATTTGTGAGGTCAACCATGACGTGATTGTAGGTGAAGTGGTTTGGTCCCAAAATTTTCCAGCAACAGGGATGGAGGGGAGATAAGGTACGCCGTAGGGGTCCTTGGGTCTGACGTTGAAGCACGTACCTGTCTGGGGGGGGGTGATGTTGTATCTCTTGCCGATGTTTTGTTTCGCGTTGAAAATCTGAGTCAACTACGAGTGAGTGTAGGCTAGCGGTTAACTTTGTCATCGTTTCAAAGTTCCATACAATATGGTAGGCTAATCTAGGTCCCCACACCTCGATTGTATCTGAATCTCGTTCCCCGTAAGCGATTAGGTGAAGTACTGCAGTCACGGGCGTCAAGTCAGGTCAAGTAAATGCACCAGCCGGCTCCTGGCTTGTGTCTTACTTTGAATCGATAACATGTTACTCGAATCAAAAACGGCACGATCAATAACGGTTGAATCGTTGTATCAACCACGTGAAACGTCATTTTGTTTCGCACGTGTTCTGGTGGCTTGACCTTCGCACGCAACTTCTGCTGTGGTCTCTGCTGCCTATTATCCTGACCGCGAAACTCGCAATATAACACATGACACACCAAGACATGAAAAAGAAAGAGCAGTGGCCAAAATCGGGTACACCCGGTCCAAACACGGCCATCATCGGGTACCCCCTCAAGATGCTGCTGGGGACGACCGCATGACACCATCTGATTGGCCGATGCCCGCCCCTACCCGACCTTGACCGTCCTTCCACCGGGTGCACCCGATCTTGGCTACTCGCCCCCCTGAGGGGTACCCGGTTTTTCTTTCCCCTACCCGAAAATAGCTGGGCTGTTCGGCCAAACCCCATGCACACAAGTAAGGCCTTGCCCTCGATTCGGACGTTCTGACCGCCAGCGGGGGCAGAGCCACCGCCGGCGGTGAAACTCTCGCGTGGGGGAAACGGCATCAGGCAGGCGGTCGGTGCAAATGATCGACAAAAGAGCTGTGGATGAATGCCTCACTCACGAGATGCAACACACACGACACGCATCTAACGAATAGACAGACAGAGATGTTCTCTGCTTCTGCTGCTTTCTCATTGGCGACAAACGAGCGGCCAGCGGTGTGCGTCCTAACCGTGTGATTGTGTGCATGTGGGGTTTGGCCGAACAGCCCAGTCATTTTCGGGTAGGGGAAAAAAAAAACGGGTACTCCTCCGGGGGGTGAGTAGCCAAGATCGGGTGCACCCGGTGGAAAGACGGTCAAGGTCGGGTAGGGGCGGGCGTCGACCAATCAGATGGTGTCATGCGGTCGTCCCCAGCAGCATCTTGTGGGGGTACCCGATTATGGCCGTGTTTGGACCGGGTGTACCCGATTTTGGCCACTGCAAAAAAAAAAAATCAAAACGATTTGAGTATCAAACCACACTTATAAAGTCTTTGCATCACACGTTACGACGGGGGATTGATTCAGTATTGCGAACACGATACGATGCACACACACCTTAGATACATCAATCATCGGAGAGAAACATGCTATGCGAACAACACCCCAATACTTCCGGGCACAGCCGGATACATAACACACAGGAAGGTTTTGTCGTGATGCCACACACACGAAAGCGCCTCCAACGACCGTTCAGCAAACTCGGCCGGTCAACGCATACCCCCCCTCTCCCCGCACAGCAACGAAACAGCCAACGGTCCACGCCGCCATCGCCAGCTTCAGCCTCTGGTTCGACGGTTGGTTTCTCAATCCGACATTCATTCCAACTTCGAACAAAACAAACAACACGGCGAAGAGAGCGCCTTATAAACGGAACCGCTCGCTACAGTTAATATTTACAACCTGCTTGCTGCTCACACCGCACCCAAAGTGCTGATTCGACAGAGAGTCCGCCGCAGGGGTGCATGGAAGGAGCAGCTAACCGTCTCGATGCACCTGCACTTTTCCCCGCACAGTCAAGTGACACGTCGGGCCCTGCACCCCCAGCAGCGACAGCAGTGGCACAACAAGCTAAAAATAGTGTTCCATTTCGCGCACACATACGACCAGAACACAACCAACAAATAATTTTTTTCATTCATCTCGAACGGTGCTCAAGCTCTTTTTGACGAATTGAAGACGCTATCTCGGGTCAATGGGAAAAAGCACACACACACACACAAAATAATGAATCGCAGCTAGTACAACGGACCACCGCCAACAAAACCAGCACCAAAACGCTCCACTCCGCAAGGTTCCCAAAACATTTTTCCCGCTTGGAACGACAAAATTCGAACCCTAACACACCCGAGTGAAGCAAGCAAACAAAGCTCCAAACAACACCGACTGTTATGAATAAATACGCAGCAAAGCGCCACCACGCCAAACCACAAATCGGAACACCCCATCAAACGAAAAAAACTCTTGCGCAGACCCAACGCAAGGAAGCGCAGCCGCCCTAGCGACCCGCCCCCCGCGTACGCAACCGCCTCTACCCGGTCTTGCCGCTACCATCGAACCATCCAACCGCCAGCAGCACGGCCAACTATTACCGTGCAGGCGTCGACCTTCCCCTCCTCTTCATATGCCGAAGGCATGGTGCCGTTTGCCACAGGACATTTCCGTGTCCGGAGAAAGAAAAAAAGGGGGGGGGGGGGGGGGGGGGGGGGGGGAAAAAAAATGGCGGCGGACCGAGGGGAGGGAACCCCCATCCCCCCCCAAAA